GTTACGGTTTTGATTAAAATTTGAATTTAATTCATAATTAACTTTTCTATTTATTAGGAGATATAAACCAAATTTATCCTATAATAGGAATAGAGAACCTCGACTTGACTAAAGAATAGAAGTACATTTATGTCTTTTTATCAAATTATGTCATCCCTTAGGTCAACCACTATGTTACCATAGCAAGATCCTTCTAATTGCACAAGGGGCATTTTATCGAATTCTCATTACTTAAATAAGAATGAATTTTCTTTTGAAGGGGCAAAATGGTAATTTTATTGAATTTATTTAAAAATAATGACTAGCTCACTGACACGCATGCCGTACAATTGCAAGAATTTGTCTAATAACTGGCTAAGAATGACTACGAAACAAGGCCTTAATTAAAAAGTAAATGGAAAACAAAAAGACAAATGTTATCCCATTTTTATATGTGAAAATTGCAGCGGAGGTCCCGAACTTTTTCCGAACTTTTTAATTCACTGCAAATTATACTTTAATTTTTTGCATTCTTAACTTTTGAACGTGGCTCAAACATGCTTTAAATAAAAAACGAAAAAAAAGTAAAATTCCAAAACTAGAAACCAAAGACCACTGGCCACCGTCACCCTTCACACGTTGCTATACCACACCAACCACTGCACGCCATTGTTGTTGCGGTGCACCGTACCTCACCAACCATAGTCGCCAAAAACCAAAAACAAACAAATGAACTTCATCTTATCAGTGTAGTCCCGTGCTTATCATCACTGTTGCCACCAACAACTACAGCCACCATGGGTGAGCAAAGACCCAGACACAACATGAAATCCAATCTCACAATTCTAAACCTCCATATCCAACTCAGTCCTAGAAATCTAAGCCCAATTTCGATTCTAATGAACAAGTCCGCTGCTACCAACCCATTCAATTGAGCCACTTCTCACCGTATCCACCAATGATTTTCCGAAAACTTTCCATAAATTGAGTAATTTGGTCCCATCAAACCAAGATCAATTGCAAGCAAAGCAAAATCCAACTCAACAAATCTTTAATTTTGATAATAAAATCTATAAAAAAATAAAAAATAAAAAAAATTTCTGAGCCACTTTTTTTGACTGCATGTAACAGCCAATAATAAAAGAGTAGCTCAAAACAAGGGATATAACACCAACTCAACAATTTAAATAAAATCAATCAGTGATTTCATAATTCAGCTCAATTATGCCCCTAAACTCCCATACTTCCCCAAATCTTCTCCACCTAGATCGGCATTTTCAAGGACTTTTTCCCGACAACAATGCAGTATCTAAGACTATCATCAAGCCTCCAATAGTTCTTCCCATCAATGTAACACTCGGGTTTGAATCCCTAAATCTGTCTGCCGAACCGGGTGGGAAATTTGTATGCATCAAATCGGTCTATGGCGGTGATACCAATTTCGTCGACGAGAAGTTTCTAATAGTAGGCATCGACGTCGTTTTCGAAAACAGAGACCAGGCCAATGGTAGTAATGACCACGTGCTTCTTAGGGTCAGTCTCGTGCTTGTGAGCTAAATAAGCGGAGATAGTGAAAGGAGAGTTTATTGTTTCCATGGCTACTGAACAATTAAGTCCATGTTTTCAATTGCTCTGAAACTTGAGATGTCGAGTTTTGGCAACTAAATTTTGAAAAACGTTGAACGTTATTCACTGGTATAACTTTCGTTTAAAGCCTCTAACGAAATTGATGACGTGATCGGCGGAATGTACACTTGGCATCCAGCCACATAGTTAAACTTTGAGATTGACGAATTTTGTTCATTAAAATTTGAAAAAATATTCGATTGCTCACTCAACTTTGAAAAATATCTTCTACTGCTCACTGAACTTTAAGATGGTTGAATTTTGATCGCTAAATTTTGAGATAGTAGGATTTTGGCCACTAAACTTTGAGATAGTCGAATTTTAGCCATTAAATTTTAAAAAGGCTTTTGGTTGCTCACTAAACTTTTGAAAAACGTCTTCTATCGCTCACTAAACTTTGAGATGATCGAATTTTACCGCTAATTTTTCGAAAACGTCTTCTATTATTTACAATAAATTTGAATTTAATTAAAATTCGTTGTTACCGTTTTGATTAAAATTTGAATTTAATTCAATTTTAACAACAAATTTAGTTCATGTTTGGTAGTAATTAATAAATCAAGATTTATTAAACTCAAAATCAACAATTAATTTTAACCACATATTTATAATAACCGCAACTTTCAACAATACATTTCATCAACTTTTATTAAAATCTTCTAAAAAATTGATTTCAATCCCAATCAAACAAGTGTGCAATGTGTATTTCGTTGTAAAAATCAAATATTAAAAATATAATAAAATTTAATTTAATTTTAATAACAAATTTATTGTGTATTTCATTGCAATTAGTAGTCACTTCCTTTGCATAGCTTTGCAAGCACTGTATATCATAATATTTGAATTTTGCAATGAAATAATACAATAAATTTGTTATTAGAATTAAATTAAAGCTGAGTTTTAATATTTGAATTTACCACGAAATACATAATAATTAGAATTAAATTAAATCCAAATTTTAACAACAAATTTTAATTAAATCCAAATTTATTGTAAGGAATAGAAGACATTTTTTAACGTTTAATGACCAAAATTCAACCATCTCAAATTTTAGTGGCCAAAATTCGACCACCTCTAAGTTCAGTGAGTAATAGAAGACGTTTTTAAAAATTTAACGATCAATCAAAGACATTTTTCCAAACTTTAGTAGTGAAAATTCGACCATCTCAAAGTTTAACGGCATGATGGGATGTCAAGTGTACATTACATCAGCCACATCACCAATTTCGTTAGAATTTTAAACAGGAGTTATACCAGTGAGTAACGTCCAACGTTTTTCAAAGTTCAATGGCCAAAACTCGACATTTTAAAATTCAGTGAGCAATTGGAGACAGACATAAGTTCAGTAACCATTGGAACATTTAACTCGTGAAGGGGTGTTATTTCTTGTGTTGATTGGGAAGTTTGGCATTGTTGGTACTGGAGTGGGAGGATGGGGGGTGGGGGTGTCGAGAAGATGAAGTTAATTGGGATGTTTTAGTTTTTTTATTTAGTTATTTTAATTATATATTTTGCTATAGAAAATGTTAATTTACCATTTTACCCTTAATTTGTCAAGATGTGTCAAAGTATTAACTTTTGGGTTGACTAACGGAATAATGGATGAATTTTGTTAAATGAATTTCGTCTGCAATCAAAGTGAAAGGTTTGAGATTGCATCAGCAAAAACAAAAGGTTAAAATGTAGTCTATAACAAATTAAAATGTTTGGGACATCCGTTGCAATTTTCCCTTAATTATTCGAGTTCTTTTTTTGAATTCCGAGATCTCGAGAAAATTTAAATTACTAATCAGACTCTCTAATTTATGGAATAAATTATAAGAGAGAGGCAATCTTCCTCAACCCAACTTGCTCCGCCCCGGATCCTTTCTATTTCTCGGGAAGCAGGCCTCTTTCTGAAAAATAAAATAAATTTCATAAGAGAAGAATACATAAATCATGCTTTTACTTTTACCAATTTCAAAAATACCAAAACATGTTTCAAATTTCAAAATTTAGGTTTCTTTTAAATTTTTAATTATGAAATAATAATTACTAAATTAATTTATTATTAATATTTAATTCTAATATAAAATAATTAACCCACTCCCCTTCCACCACCCCTACAACTCCGGGGATATTCCGGCGATCTTTCCGGTCACCAATCTTCTTTGACGACCGTTTCGGCGATTTTTCCGATTCCGACGAATATGTTAAGGTCATAGATCTATACAATTTGGTCACAATTCGAAATTTTTTAGGTCACAATTCAAAAATTTCATAGATTACAATTTGTTCATCGGTCACAACTTNACCCAAACACGGAACCACGGCCGCCAACTTCTGTGACCACTCCAACAACAACAAAAACCACGATATCAACACCAAGGAACCAGACAACACCCATCCGCACACAAAACACACACACCCAACCGCACATCACCACCACTACCACCGTCCCACCACTACCTTCACTGTGCCGCCGCCGCCTGATCCACAACTGAAACATAGCCCAAAAATCTCACACCAAGTCACGACGTGCAGCCCACAGCACAAAAATAACCCAAACATCAACACTGCCGCACGACGCACGCACAACTACAGCAGCACCGTACGACGCAAATTCACCACAAAACGGATCGTGCAGAGGTGCAGTCGCACCGCGCTGTTGAAAAACCAACTGGATCCGTGGGCAAGAAGGCCGAAAATGGTGGAGAACGACATCGACGCCGTGGCGGTGAGGAAGACGACGATGGTTGTGGTGGTGTTGTGGGAGTCTGCGCTGCTAGAAAAAACCATAGATCTGGATCCATGGGCTCTCACCGGCGGGGGAGGTGCTGTTGGCTGCGGGTTCCAAGCACAGAAATGGGAGGAGAGAATGGGATAGAGGGAAATGAATTTTAGGGTTGGTTTGAGTAATTTTAATTGGAATGAAAATTATATAATTAATATTAAATTAAATATAAAAAACTTGATTTGTAATGTGATTTTTGAAAATGGAAATCTAAAATCAGGGGTGGGTGTAATTTCCTCTTTTCATAAATTCAAACTTTAGTCACTCATTAATATTGTATTATAACAATTAAAGCTTAAAATTATTTAAATTTGTAATTGAATTTTAAATCAAACCATTTGGAAATTTTCCAAAAAGCTAATCAATGGTTCTTCTCTACATAGGAACAATACGGCCCTCAGAAACATAATTTGTATCGATTAAACAAATTGTTGGAATTCAGCTATTTGTGCCCCGCAATAAACAAAGAAAACTAGACAGTTTGGTCAAATAATGAATTGCAAAATTAAATCATTTTATTAATTTAACGACTTCAGAAAGCAGAGAAAAGGCCCCATAGTTTCCCAATTTCCTTAATTGAAGCCATATTCAGTAGAAAATACTGACACACAACAGAAAATATTCAATGATCATGCAGATTAATTTGTAGCCGTTGATTCTTTCTGCAAACCCAATTTTCTTGCTTGAAGTTGAACTCAGCAGCAGCAGCCAAGATCTTGACACTCTGCACTGGGCTTAGAATCTCCACAATCTTCCTCACCACTGATGCACGAAGATCATCAGCATCACCTATAATCTCAGCCAATGATTTCTTCAAATCATCCATTGCAGTATCAAACTCAGGTACTTCACCATCTACCAATTTTCCCGTTTTCTTCATAAGATAAAAAATTGGTGGCTCAGCCAAACTCTCTTGAATTCTCGCCATGGCTTGTTCCATGTCTCTTTCTCCTCTTGTAATTTCAGCCCTCACCAATTCAATCCTGCGGGATTGTTCATCTGATAAAAATTCTCCCACTGAGTTCTTCACCAGTGGGAAAACCATAGAGGGTTTAAACCCGGAAATCCAAAGCAAACTGCGCTCGAAAGAGGTCAGCCATGGCGGAGAAAAGCACACAAAAACATCGGAATTGACTAATTTGGTTTTCTCTTGGTAATATTCTTGGTAATGGGATAAAACTTTTGCCACCAAATCTTTGCATTCTTCTTCATCTTTATTGGTCGATTCCGAAAGGAATTGAAGATCTTCGAGATGGATTTGTTGTGAAATAAGCCAATTTTCGAAGAAGGAAGTGAAAGTCGCCCGAACAATCGAACCCGCCATGTTCTGGCGCCTGAGAGGGAGTAAATTACCCCCTGTTCATGGCTTTAAATAGTTTTTTGGGCTAGATTTTTCTTAGTGATTAAGCTTCTTAATTTGTATATAGAAAAATCCAGCCGTATGGGACATTTCTTCGGAAGTAAGTATTTATAAAAATATTTTTGTTGCGAAGCGGTGATTCTTCCATCATCTGCTTGATTTGCTGGTTTATCCGTTGAAATATGAGTTTCTTGAGACAAAAATAGAAAAAAAACGTGTGTTTTGCGTGTAAATAAAGAGACAAATGCTAAGGAAACTAGAAAATGATGAAAATGAAAAAGAATAGTTATTGAATAATGATATTTAGCATCAGCAGTGCTACATCACTAGTTTAGGCAGCCAAGGATGATAGGTGCAACATTTAAATGAACCTATTATTTAATGACATCTAATTGTCACTTAAATTGGTGCTAAATAGCATTACTCATAGTTATTAGGTGTGGATCTTGTTTTTTGTACCTTTCTCGATCCTTTAAACATGACGTGTGCAACATGGGACGAGTGATTTTGTCATTAGTAGTTTTTAGTGATTATTAGAAGTGGTTGCTTCCGTATCGATGGTATTTAATAAAATTATAAGTGGATGATATCACAATAAATATTAAAGGGAGTATTTCATCCTCATTTTTTTCCTCATTATAATGAGAAATATTATTATTGGAGTTGTTTTTTTAAATTGCAATGATCATATTTCTCATTATAATGAAAAAAAAATGAGGATCAAATAAATGCTAAAAGTGAACTATGAGTATAGCGTTAATTACACGAGAACTATGCTACTAAATAACGAAAGTAATAATCCTTATTTTATTTGAACGGTCAATTAAACAGATGAGTGCATTAAACTAATCCTACTTAAAAAAATATATAATCAAGTTGTTGGTTGGAAATTGGAATAAAGAAATTTGAGATGTTAAGATTTCACGACTTCTATAGTTTATCTAGTTCAAATTCACTTTATAAACTTGGGGAATATATCAATTTTTTTTTTAATTTACTTGATAGTTTTTACGAGTAAAATCAAAACTACTTAGTTATAAGAATTCAATATATCTCCTCGTGTTTTACAAATATAACTAACTAACTCCAGAAAACTATAAAATTCTCACATGATCACACAACAATAGGAGTATATCTCCCTCTCTTATCGAAATTTATGATTTTCGTAATTTTGGTCTAAACTCATAAATTTCCCATAATATCATTTGGTTCGCAAATTATTCAGATAAAGCATTTAAAGTCCATAAATTCAACCAACGAAAACAAGAGCATGAAAAATATACTTTAAAGTCAAAGTCAAAAAGTAAATCGTTAAACTAGGTTATATCATTCAACCTAACTATGAAATTTAGCCAAGCATGTTTATCGAGTATAAACACATAAAGTTCAAGAATAGCCTCATCAGATTTATAATAGAAGATGAAAAGAAGGGTTAAACTTGAATCTTCCATCTTGACTTTGAATCTTCAAGTTTTTCTCCTTTCGACGTCTTGTCTGTAAAAACTATGTGAGAGATTATGTTTGTGTTGTGTTTTTAAGATTTTTCGACATACTATGATGTTAAAGACATGTAGTGCATATAGGATATGAGTTTAGGACATAAATAACCAGGTAAAAACTCTTCATAATGCTCTTGAAGTCGTACAAGTCAAGTAAAATTCGAATTTTTGAGTCAATGGAGTTGCACACGCAACTCTGATTTGGCTTGAAAATGTCGTGTGCGCAACTTTCTGCAGACTGTAATAGTCTAGCTGCACTTGCAACTTGATTTTCACTTCAAACTGTGCTCATGCAACTTTATTTAAGTCTATTTTTCTTTTTCTTTTCCTCGGTTTAGCTCATCCCTTTCCTATTTTGGCTTGTTTTATTTATTTAAAATTGTATCTTTATTTATTTTGGCATGTTTATTTCAAAACATTCGAGAACTCTATTTTGTACTCACAGTTGAGTAAACTTGCTTTTTCCCAAGCATTTTGGCTGTCTATTCGAGGCATATCTGTGAAACATACTATCTAAGCCTAGGGCTAATTCAGAATTTTTATTGGAATTTATAAGCTAGATGCATGTATGTCATGGTTCATGAATATGTCAATTCATGTACTGATAGGGATTGAACCAATAATACAATAAATAGCAGAAACAACTTCAACCCCTTCGATTGTGTAGAATTAAAATGACAGTAATAATATCCAACTCCAACAACTCACACACACTGCAAGAAAATAAATAATTGAACACAATGATTTGTTCACTAAGGAAACCCTTCGGTATGAAGGAAAAAATCCCGAGACCTAGTCTAGTAAAAGCCTTTCACTATGAAAATAATAGGATACACAATTAACCTTTAGAACACACTCCAGATCAAGAACACATATAGTTCTTGGATATCAACAACATCATCATAAAATAAATACACACTATAATAAGAAAAAATCTAATAAAGATGTGTTTAAAGCTCAGAGAAATGGAGAGGAATCTGGATGATCAGCTCCAGTTAAAATGTAGCCCTCTTCGCAAGGAGCAACATACTTAAATTTCTATTTAATCGGACCACAAATGAACCTCCGATCAATAGCAAGAAGAGCTGAATCCCTAGCTCTCTCTCTCTCTCTCTCTCGCGTTTTCTCTCTGTATGTATGTATGGTTTGCCTCTTGCTATTTTAAATTGGTTTTGGGCCTAAGTGAAAGGGCACACTTACCAATTTAATGGGCTCCCTCACTAGGAGAGAATACCCAACAAATCTCCCCCTCCTGACTACGTGAGGGGCTCCATTAAGCCCGCTTTCCTTCTACATACTTGTAGTTTCTCCATAGGCAATGACTTTGTCATAATTTCTGANTTTTTCATCTCCAAAGCATCTCGAATCCAATGATATCTTACTTCAATATGTTTGGATATTGCGTGAAAGGTTGGATTTTTACGAGATGAATGGCACTCTGACTGTCGCAGCAGAGTATATACTTATCTTGCTCTAGGCCAAGTTCTTGTAAGAACTTCTTCATCCATAGCAACTCCTTGCTAGGTTCAGTGATGGCTATGTACTCAGCCTCTGTGGTAGATAGAGCAAAACATTTCTGTAGTCTTGATTGCCATGAAATTACTCCCCCTAAAAAAGTGATCAAATACCCAGAAGTAGACTTTCTAGAGTCAACATCACCAGCCATATCTGCATTAGTGAACCCAATAAGCTCAGGTTTGCTGATGCCAAAAGATAAACAAATATTAGAAGTCCCTCTGAGATGCCTGAGAATCCAATTTATTGCTGCCCAGTGTTCTTTTTCAGGATTAGAAAGAAATCTACTACAACTCCAACAGAATGAGCAATATTTGGCCTGTGTATACCATAACATACATCAAGCTACCCATAACTGATGCATAAGACACATTCTTCATTTTTTCCTTCTCTTTCTCACTTGAAGGACTTTGCTTTGAATTTAGTTTCAAATGACTTACAAGTGGAGAGCTCACTGGTGTTGCCTTGTCCATATTGAACCTGTGTAATATCTTCTCGATATAACCTTCCTGTGATAGCCATAATTTCCTATTCTTTCTGTCACGAGAGATTTTCATACCAGAATTTAATTTACAGGTCCCAAATCTTTCATTTCAAAGGACTTGCTCAACTCCCTTTTCAGCTTCTTAATTTTTTCAATGTCACGACTAACAATCAACATGTCGTCTACATATAACAAGAGGATAATAAATTTCCCATTAGAGAATTTCTTTATGAATACACAATAATCCAAAGTTGTTTTCGTGTACTCATGCTCAACCATGAAGAAATCAAATTTCTTGTACCATTGTCTTGGTGCCTACTTGAGATCATACAAGCTTTTCTTCAACCGATATACAAGTTTTTCTTTACTTTTAGCTGTAAATCCTTCTGTGTGCTCCATGTATATTTCTCAAGTTGTTCAATCTCCAGATTCATACTAGCTGCCAAGCCTAACTCAACTCGGATTGAAGATATTTTAACAACAGGTGAGAAGATTTCTTCAAAATCAATGCCTTTCTTCTGAACAAACCCTTTCACAACCAACCTTGCCTTATACCTTGGCTGCAAACTATATGGTTCAACTTTTAGTCTAAGCACCCACTTGTTCTTCAGTACTCTCTTGCCCTTAGAAAACTCTACTAGGTCATAGGTGTAGTTCTTATGCAAATATTTCATCTCTTCTTGCATAGCTTTTAACCACTCATTTTTCTGATCGTGTAGCAGAACCTTGTGATGAATTTCTGGCTCTTTCGCATCAGAAAGTAACACATACTCATTACTAGAATACCTCTTGGAAAGCTAACGTTCTCTAGTAGATCTTTTTAACTCTTCTTCAACTAATACCTCAAGAGGAACATTCTCTTGATTTTGATCTAGTTCTGTATCACCCTGTGCAGGGGCTTCTTCATTTCTGTCTCCTATACTGTCATGTTCTTCTTGTACATTTTCTCTGTGATCATCATCTACCACCGGGTCGATATATGTGGAACTGAATTGATTAGTTCTTCATTGACTGTATTTGGCTTCTTAGTTTGATCCAAATCTTTAATGGTTTCATTTTCAAAGAAGACATCTCTGCTCTTGATAATCTTCTTATTCACTAGATCTCACAACCTATATCCAAATTTTGGATGTGCATAACCTAAGAAGATACTCTGCTTTGCTTTGCTATCAAATTTGGACATTTCATTTTTAGGAATATGAACAGATACTCGATAGCCAAAAACTCTCAAGTGATTAAGACATATATATTTCACTGTCCAAAAGCTCTCTGGAACATCACAATTCAAAGGAACTGATGGAAAAAGATTAATCAGGTCAATTGCTATCCTCATTGCCTCAGCTCAAAAATGCATAGGCAATTTTGCATGAGAAAACATATATCTGATATTCTCACAAATAGTTCTATTCATTCTCTATGCCACCTCATTTTGTTGTGGGGGACCTCAGAACAGTTTTCTCATGCCT